AGTATGTACACACCACACTTTCAGTTCAGCGACTGTGGTTTGAGGAAACTGTTATTGTTGAAAACTGATAGTTCCCCGCGGATTTGACAACATCCACCCAAAAGTATTGCAAGCGGCAGCTTCTAGGATACGTGAACAGTTTGTTCCAAAGATGTTTGGATGAACAACAGGTCCTTACCAAGTGAAAGCATGGTAGCAGCACAAAGAATTTTAAGGACAGTTGCCCCTCAACAGCTATCGCCCAGTGCTATCCAAGCTAATGTAACCAATCAGTGCTGAGGCACCAATGGGATAATTAGAGAGATCAAACATTATGGCATCAGAGCAATACGGCTTCTATTAACACAACTCATGTAAAACCAAGCTTCCGGTTGCGCGTCACAGCGGAGTGTGGGACCAGGACCGTTGTCATCTATTTCGAATTTTCTAAGACCTTCGACCGCATAGGCCACCGAATCCTCCTCCAAAAGCTTCAAACATGCTGAATCAGGAACCCTATCCTTGAATAGGACAGAAATTTCTTTCTGTAGTGGTGGCTTCACGTTCGGGTTCGTGGCTGGTTTTGCAATCCGATTGATGTGCACTGTGAAGTTTCCACAAACATCAGTGTTATTCATTACCGACCTTGATTTTCTCTTTGAGTTGACTTTCTTGCTTTCCGTGGATGGTATTAATATACCATAGACGATCGTTAATCAGGGAGATGGTGACCGGCTTCAATAGGACCAGGACCTTGCTTTTGAATGGTCAAAGACTAAGTTGCTTCTCTTCAATGCGGATAGGCGAAAAATAACACACATATATAATGGGAAACCACATATTGAAGACCGTTTCACAGTAACGTGGCAGCGGGTTATGGCTATAAGGTGACTAAGCTGTGCAGCGCAACGTGTGAATGTGTACGATGCCGGGAACCAACATGTTGCCATCTCACAGATGGAACTAGGGTGGCTCGACTCACACATCACTTCGGTAATGCTCAAACGGATTTGTTAACCGCCAAGTGGATTTTGTGCTTCAGTCTAGTATCGCTGGTAAAAGTGCGGTCTGGTTGCACTCGATGTCCCACAATGAAGGGCAAACATATATTTTAAGTGATTATTCTACCTGCCATAATATCTGCGATTAAAATCCCTAAGAGTGTACAACAGGATTTATCGCCGTCTACTTGGTGACCTTATCCTGCCGTGCCACAACTTGAAAACCCAGGTCACAATTGTCATCACTTCGTGAAACGTAGATGCATCACAAAACTGAGGCGACACCAACTGAAACTGGCCATCAAATACAGCCAGCTGGGATGTTTCCGGAAGTACTTTCTCTCGAGTTTGTGAGATATGGAACGCTCTTCCGAATTCTGTCATTTCCGCGCCCACGTGGCTCATAAAAAGCGACTAGACGGTGCGCTGCAGTATCTGCATCACCAGAGTTACATACCACTCCTCGAATAATGATGCGACGTAGACAAACCTATTACTTACCGAGTCCACAAAATCACGGGAAACGAATTGTGCGTTAACGCGGATATTATGTTGAGTTCACAGATGCCCTTTTCACTTCAGTGTCACTTTTCTGAATCTGTGTGATTTATACAACCCATCCTACGGGACCTGTCGAGCTTTGGCTATATTTTTACCCCCATTTTATACGACTGTTCCTTTGTTCCAACTTATCGTCGCATTTATCACGGCTAATCAACCTTTGCCCCATCTGGCAGCATCGACCACCATGTTCGTGGGATAGCGACTTGAGCCGAATGTGTCGAAACGATTAGAACATTGTCAGCGTTTCGCACGGCACACATGTGGACATGCTGCGTAGACGTGAAGCTAGCTGCAACACGGTTAATCAGTCAAGGATAGCCTGGCTGCGGAAATGAAACTCTGCTCTTGCAATGTACTTGCTTTTGCCGTTACACGTTAATGCATACCCATAGAAGTGTCCACCGTTGGATGTCTGCGTGTATGGCGCGCATACATAATTAATGGTATTTGAGAGATGGATGTTTTGTATTCTTCTACGTGATACGCATTGCGAACACCACCTTCATACCTTTCACATGCGTACGACAATAGGATGATGAAACTTGTGTTAAAATCGCTGAGTGTTCGGACACGGCTCTGCTACAGTGCTGAGACAAGATTAAAGCAGCAGATCTGGATGTCGACTGCACGAAAACACTCCAATCCACTTCGCGTTTCGACCTTGTTTGATTTCATCAGGTAGAGATCACAGGCTTCGAACCCATGATCATTGGGATGTCATTTAGGACCGCTGGCACTTTATTCACTGGGTCACCAGGGTCAATGCTTATCACAGCTCAAATTGAAATTGCGTGTCGCCAACCAGCCACACAACGAGTACTTCCAAATAACCTAATCAGTGCCAGATTTATTGCTTTTCTACACCTATGCTCACACCCTAATGCCCTGAAATTTGGCGTGCGAATGCCCTCGTCAGAACATCTGAACTTAGCCATATGCAACTACCTTGCTTCGTGTTTACATCCGCCAAACGACGAGTGAAATAGCTCTTCGTCCACATTCAGTCAAGTGTAAACATCAAGCCAGTTGTGTTGTTCTGTGAACATTTTTGGCTTCGCTTCACAAGTAATGGCGTGTTTTGGCAAGATCCAGTCAAGCCGCGTAAACTGTTGACCGGCAGCTTGCATCTCTAGCGATGGAACAGCTTGGGCACCAGAGCATACGTCAGTCCAGGAGGCGCACACTTTCCAACAAGCAGTGCTAGACACGGACAACGAAAGCTTCAGTTCCGTTCAATATGACTAGCAATATTTCATCTGCATTGGAAAACTTGCCATTCTGCATTTGAACTAGTGTTGTCCACGACTCAATTGTTCCCAAATCGTTCGCAGCCACATTGTGCACAGTGAACGGTCACGAATAGATCAGCATGCCTCAATCGCCTCCGAAACGATTGCACAAAGCACCGAACTACACATTGCACATTTGTGTTACGTTTGCGAACCGTGCGTATGAAACGACTAACTCGTCCTCACTGATTATCAGTAAGACTTTGCACTGCCTTTGCAGCGTAACTGAAAGCTACGTCATTGTTTGTCACTAAGCTGAATTTGCTGGACGACACACATTTGCATTCCGATGGAGGCTCGGTATTGTTGGCTGCGTCTCATATCAAACTTATCCCAGCAATCCGCCTTACTCAAGACAACTCATATTTCAGTGAGGACTGCATTCCCCCTTCCCAACGGCAGTAAACCTACGGTAAAGTTATCTCATTAAACCAAAAGGAACACTTGCAGTTTGCTTTCGCGGTCCTTTCATCTGCAGCATCACTTGCACTTTCAGACTCTGAACAGAGCAACGACAGTAAAAACGGAGCCGACATCAATGAGGCGTGTCTTCATCGGTTGCACCAACCTCCACCACTTTTCTCTGTAATGGATATTATCTCACACTGGTCGACAGTTTTTGAACCAGGCATGAAGTAGTTGCTTTCTATTAAATTACGAGCAATTTTACGCTTACCTTCCCTGGGCACATGTGCTATGCAGAGTTCGCGCGTCTAGCTGGCGTGCAGTGATCTGGTCGAGCACTGTATCAAGGAGGCGATGTCGCTGGCATACAGTACTTGTGATATTCGACTGACATGCTTCACATGGCGAAAGTGATCGTTCACCGTCCTTATCCACTACACATACTCCCGCCACATTTAGCCTTATCACTGTACTTGCATCAGATATGCGGGCTGAGATTACTCATCAGAAACAACCTGTGCTTCCATGACCTGAACCGATTCCAAGTGGATAAATAAGAGTAACGGAGAACTCCCTAAGCCTCGAGAAAATTGCAATAGCCCCATGCATTTCAAAATGCACAGTCGACTCACAATGTTCAATGTGTTGGTGGAAAGACAACATCCACGTCACGACTTCATTTCCCTCTTCTACCCAATGACTATCAATTTGATCAGAGAGCATGACTCTTACACCTTGTCTCTGAAGTGCTTCAAGCAGGCTACCAGTGCAGTATAAGCCACAACCATCCGCAACGTTGCGGAAATCTGGGTGTTCAATTATCCGGTCCTTAGCTATTGCAATAATGTCATATGATAGTGATCGACCCACTTGGCAGAGAGTGCGGCAAATCGCTCGGTTTTTAACATTGGTCGAGCTTTCAGCGTCCGTTCTACTACACGTTCCGTTGATACATCTGGTCATACAGGTGACCGACCTGGTTTCTATGCTGTTGGATGGGGTAACACTTTGTTGTTGTTTACAACCTAATGTAGAGAAATGGGAAGTGGGTAAAATGTACAACTTCGAGGGTGGTAGGATGGGAGTAAAAGGAGGCTCATCAGGAGTACTAAAGCACTCTGTTTAATGCTCAGTGGGGGGATTTCGTGAATGACTACATGATGACGATTGTGGCTGAAATTTGCTCGCGTTTATATTGCATCCTACTAGGTTCCCGGTGTTTTGTGCTACCAGGTCACCCAAGCCTGAAGGTTAGAGCAACTCCGGCCCCAACAGGGAATTCTATGCTATATACACACAAGGGATCGCTGAGAAAGGTACCGTAAGTTATGTGAGATTCTCTGTTCTTCTTGACTTCTGGCCATTGAAATTAATATAGCTGCTCTCCACTCGGTGGTCGTTTCGTGTCCGAAACCTTAAGCATGCTAAAAGCAGGGCGACCTAGACTCGAACTGCCAGGAAACCGAATGAATTATGTTCTGAAGTTGTAGCACTTTGAGTCCGATTGTCTTGGTTGAATTTCACATCGATAGTACCATTATGACAAGATACAACTCCACCGTCTACATATTGCCCGATTTTGGCTAGCACCACCCTGAAGGATCAGTGTGACACGCTACTGCTCTCTTTTGTTTTCGTTACCTGAATTCCTAATTTTTTTTCTTTCTAACTGTGTTTGGTAGCTTCTAACACTCATGATTGGGTATCCGATCCATGCAAACTAGAAGAATAATATTATTTCTCTCCGCACATATATTTGCAGGATACCGAGGATAATGTCGCTGAAGAAGAGGATAAATCGGACAAAATGATATACGCAACATCAACTTTACGCGTTCTATGCATACAAACTTTTGTTCCCCCAACGCGTGATGTAATACATCGTATCCTCTATCGTGTAGCTCGTCTTCCGAAACTACAACGTCTGCATTTGTTTCCGGCGGCCTATGCTTTTCCAGGGGATGGTGAGCCGAATCAACGGGAACTTCGAACACAATTTATATCTCACAGCCGAAATTACTTGACGCAACGTTTTAGGCCAGATATTGAGGTTCTATAAGCAAACTGTTCATGTGGCATTAAACTTGTACTATTGTTTAATTCCACCTGCTCATCGGAATGTGTCCATATTTTCACAGCCACCATTCACGTGACGTGGTGCTATGTAACAAATATGACTTTTTTCGCAAAATGTTTCTTGACTTTTTAATTCTGTGCACTCGAAATGTTTTAGGCATGCGACAGCTTGTAGGTGATAGCAGCTTTACATTGTGTTTTAAATACTCCGTGCTAATACTATTCATAAGGTACATCAGTGTATGTGCTCTAAATTATTGGTAAAATCCCTACGGGTCTACACACCTTAAGGTTAATGGGATCTCAGTTGGGTTGACTGTAACGTCGCCTAGCTTGCGCAGCATGTCGTCATCATCAGCTGAGCATAACTACCTTTTAGTTGAGCCCCGGCAGCAGTTAGATTTTCGGTGACATGATTTGATTGTTCTTTAGATCGTTATTCATTACTGATATGTCATTTGAGCTGTTTAGTGGCAAGCACTGAACATGCTCTTGGACTACAGTCAACGACGCCGTAGTATCGAGCCATCATGCACAGTAAAATTCATTTGTGTTACTTAGTTCAAGCAACATTTTATGTGTTAATTCTGTACTGTAAAGGGCAGGTTTGACTGGTCGGGGTGATCCTGTGCTTCCAAACAAGGTAAATGTCGGTAAACTTTGAGTATAAGTCTGGTTTGCTTATAGTAAAGCAACTAGTGTGATAGCCCAAAACCCGGTACTATTCCCGCTCAGTCCAAAGACGACGGGCCCACTGTCTGTGGTTCCACGTTTCATTGGCTCGAGGTAGTAGTAACTAGAAAGTATAACATGCCACGTTCGTACATGTATCTTACTATGGTCGTGGGATTTCTGGGAAGCCAAATATCTTCGACACATAATCCACTTCGGGGACTCCGCCCACGGGTGGCTAATAAAATGCACAGGGTAATCGACTGCATTCATCAAATGAACCCAGCTCCGTTGAGCCGTTCAGCGGTAATATCAATCTGTCAAACTTTCAAGCCGGTTCAGGTGAAAATGGGTAAGTTTTGAGTACTGAACAATGAACCGGTTAAGTAGACTAGCTTTGTGTGACAGTGTTAGTAAGGTCCGTAAGGCAAATTCAACAAACTCACCTTCACTTTGATAACTCGGTATACTATTTAATAAATACTTTCGTGTGTGCTTAAGACCTACATACCACATTAGCCTCAGAGTTTCACTGCCTACTAAACAAAAGTTGCGTGTGACAGTGGATACGTTACGCGACTACCATCCTCTGTGAGTACTACGCGGTAACTCGAATTTTTGGTGTGCCATACTGATCGAGCATTGTAGCTGCAATATTGTGGAAAACAGCGTTTGAATAAAACACTTGAAACGAACTTTGATTATTGACTAATATCCTCTGATCCAACATATCTTGGATAGATTATAGCGGTTCTCGTCAAAACGTCTTTGGCGCTTACTGGCAATTTTTCCGTTTGTTCCCAGTTTTAATCACGTTTTGCACCCTGTTTTTGCCATTTTATTGAGGTCGCTTTACTATTGTATACGTGTTATAATTCCACTCTGTTTTCCATTATGTCGGTCTCTCAATCCACCGAGGCTATTGTTTCCGGTTTGGATTCTGAGACTATCGCACTTTGTGTTAGTTCAAGCTGCTATATGTCAGTAACTGACGATTCCCGCGGCATGCAGTGCGATGTCTGCAACCGATGGTACCACCAGTTTTGCACGGATCTGAATGCTGAGCAGTACGCACTGCTGGCCTCCCGCTAAAGGCTGCTTTTCAGCTGTGACAATTGCTGTAGCCGTCGGCAAAGCCGCCTGGGCTTTCGTAAAAGCGACGAATCTCTTGATTCTCGGCTTCGAAATGTAGAGCGTTCATTCTCGATGCTCTCAGATCTTCACCGCAAGGTTGATTTGCTTATGACGACGCTTCTGGTCTCCAATAACGCAGATTCCATCACTTACAGTGGAGATCAACTTGTGGCACCAATCCTTGTGTCACCAGTCCAAATGGCTCCGGACCAAATTTTGAGGCTGCTCCGGACGTCGGATCTAACCCTACCCTGTTCGACACCGAATTGGTAGTTCAAGGATCTATTAGAGTAAAGCGAAAGAGATCCAGGAAACCCGGTCAGCTCTCTGATAAACAAGAAGCTGTAGTTGAGTAGACACCGGAAACAAGCCAAGTGTCGTTACTTGTCAAGCCGTCTGATGTTTATGCGAAGGCAAAATTCCCACACAAACTACTTGTCAGTCGAAGGTGCGGATATCTCGGCTCTCATCGATCAAGCAAGTTCTGACGGTTTGCTTGACTCTACCTAAAGCGACAAAATGACATAGGAACTTGCTCCCGTTATCAAGACGAAAAGCAGACAAAATCTGCCAATTAGCCTTTCGGTGAACTCGATGAAACGAAAAAATAGGACACCGACAATGGAGTAGAAAGTATCCGCTGTCGTTTCTACATCATCTAGGGGATAAGGACAATCCCATCACCAGTGTCGAAGCCATCTTCTCCAAGTGTCGATGCAAAGGCCCATGGGATAAATACATCCCATCGTGGTGATTCTTTCACGGATAGTAGCGTCATATTCCGTAACGCGGATGAATCCATTGATCTCCTTTCTGCCGAACGCATGTTGGACGACATTCAGTGGTTTAAAATGTGCGTAACGAAGCTTCTTCCGCCTGGTTTTCCAGGCGTTACTGTCAGAAAGCTGATTAAACTGGGAAACGTCCCAGTTAATGCACTAGACCCTCGACCGCGGTTACTTGGCGTGGTACTCTCTACGCCGGATGAACCCAACGGTCTCAAGCGATTTACCTTTAAGCCACAAGGTACCATTATTAGTGTGTAACCGCACATTCCACTGGCCGATAGTCTGAAGCTAAAGGAGGCCATCAAGTACCTCAAAAACCGGCGAGCGGCCGATGAACAAGATCTTCACTTATTGGATTTTCGGGGTGGTCAGCCGGCGATACTTTTCCGCCCTGCCAGTGACCGTTCTGGTAGAGCACGACCTAGGTATAGACCTAACGAATACCTTCAGCTAGTGCTAGCAGTGTGCGCAGCTTAAGGAATAAGGTGTACGAGTTAGGTCTGCTTGTAGATGGGTCTCATCCCCATATACTCGCATTTACTGATACGTGGCTGTCTCAGGACATCACGGATGGTGAAGTATATCCATCTGGCTACGCACTATTTAGATGCGATCGCCCCTTTGGCCGGCAGGGAGGAGGCGTCGCTCTTTATGTGAGCTATAAATTAACGTTTCGATGACTTGCTTTTTTCAGTCGGCAGACAAAACTGTTGAAGCTCTGTCGGCTGTGATTAGCACATCCTTGGTTCTGGTTACAGTTGTAATTGTGTGTAGACGCCTTGGAAGCCTATCCAAAGAGGTACTTGACTTTATTCGGTGTCCCATGGGCTAACGTCCTATGACCAATGCGAGTGTCAACGACGCCAAAACAGCGTTCTTAGCCTCGCTAACTTGAAGGCACTGCACGCGATTTCGAAAATGTGTCACGCTAAAAGCTGGGTACAGTGCGCTAACATGCCTATAAAATGGTATCTTCGCCGCTATGTTGTGCCTGCTGAGACTATCTTACAGCGAGATTCACATTGTAGGGGACTTCAATCTACACGACTTAAAATGCGCGGCCACTATCGGTGAACAGTTCAAACCGGATCTGCAATAGCTAATCGCTGTTTCAACGCTGTGCAACCATGTCAATTCCCGAACACCTTTCCGGACAGAAAACAACCATTCGTTTTGGACGTCATTTATACCAACGAGGAACTCACATTCCACGTAAGAACTGTGTGCAATACTTGGGGCCACAACGATCCTGCGACAATAGGGTTTCATTTTATTTGATACGCAAAATGTCCTGATGAAAATACCCTGGCATCTCACGTCGTAACCAACTATGATGATCTGTCCGACGTCATTCATGCACAGGCTTGTCTTTCCTAACCGAATATTCCACTGAGGTGACGTGGAGCGAATTCGTCAACATCTACCACAGACTAGTGCGGAGCATATCAGAAAACAAAATACGCTGATCCAAGAAAGTGTAGTCTTGCTTATGGAGCAGGACTCGGAAATGCATGGCATTGAGAAACTTGGCATGGCTCGCCCACATAGCCTTTCTGAGCGAGGACATCTGGGATGTCTACACAACGCAAAAGATCCACTGCGTCAAACTCGTCCGGGAGGAGAAAATAAATAACCAATAAGACTTGGTGCAACAATTTTGCTCTTGCCCCAAACTGTTATGCAGACACGTAGACATAGGTCACAGGTTTAAGCACGGAATTCCTGTTCTGCACACAGCATGCGGTTTAGCACAAACGGCGCAAGAGTCAGTCAACGTTCTGGACAGTAATTTGGCCGTACCTTCCAACGTGTGCAATCATCTTATATCCTGCCTACGCAGATCATGCCACCATGGGAACTAAACCACATATCTTTTACTACCGCATTTGTACTGAAGCGGATCGTGTGCTTGAGCTAGTACAGTTCTCGGGGGCAGACGACATTTCCCGAACGTGTTGCAAGCTCTGTCATGAGTTTAGCTGAATAGTTAGCAATATCCTTTCAGCGACAACGTAACAAGATGCACGGGATCATAAGCTACAGAAGCGGTGGCCGAGAAGAACCAGCAAATAATCGCCCGATAACGCGCCTTCCAGTGATCGCCAACTTCATGGAGTCTGTTGTCGCCGAGGTACACATAAGGTACCTAGAGGGCAAGAAAAATGCTCGTTCCGGAGCAGCATGGATGTCGCCAAAATCGGTCTTGCGCTACTAAACTGTTGCTTGCTCGTGCATGCTGGACGGAATCTGTAAATGCTGACGAAGTTGCCGATGCCGCATACCTGGATTTCTCAAAGGCATTCGACTACCTAGACGATCGCATTCTACTGCACAGACTTCAGAAGTATGCAATCGGCGATCCCATTCTGGGCTGGGTAGGTGGATTTCTCGTTCAACCTCACCTGAATGTGAGGGTTCTCAGCCCATTGTCCAAACCAAGCAATGCCCAGTGTCACGTGCCTCAGGGCTCGGTACTCGGACCTCGCCTGTGCCTGGTCTTCATAATTGATCTCGCGTGGGT